ATATAATGGTAATCTTATTCTGCGATTTTTTGTGATATTTAATGTATGCACAATAAATAAAATATCTAACTATAGTCGTGAGAAACCTTTTATTGAGTTGACATAAATAGTACACGGCAAAATCAAACAAAAACTTGATTTTCAAGTTTTTGAATTTATTAATTTATCAATCGATATATTCAAAAACTTGAAAATCAAGTTTTTATTTAGTTTGCCGAACATTAGAATAAAGTCCTAGGTTAAGCAAATATCTGGTCTAAATTTGGAAAAACTAAATTTTTTATAGAGTAAATCAGGTGTAGGGCGGTAAAACCGCAAGTCCTACAGTTTGTGGCCAGTCTTTATAGATCAGACCAAAAAGACTATTGGTACTAACATAGTTAGTATTAAATCATTGTAATGAACATATATAGTCTAATTTTTTGTGACTTATTGGGTTCGGATTATTAGCACTATTATAAATATACAGTAAATATAAAGTTGATCTTTAGAGACTTAGACAACGATAATAAATTTAAAAAATTTAAATCAGATTTTTTCTTAATTATAATAACAGGTTTACTTAAACAAGAATTAGATATACAAATCTAATATTTTTAACTAAAATTATTGTATAAATTTACTTACAGTACAGGATTCAAAATTCATATATTGCTTCACTAATAATAATAGACAGGTTTTTGGTTTGAGGTAGCTTTTATACAATTAAACGAGTAATAAACTAATAATTTGAATGGAGTCTATAATAATAACATATAATAATACGTAATAATTAACATGTTTGTGCAATTTATGTGGCATTTAATTAGTATAATAATCGGTCTGTCCAATCTCATACTAATCGGTTCTAATCAGTCCTAGACCGCGGTCTAGTCCAACTTTTTAAAAGACCACTGGTCTTTGAACCAAGACAGACCGGACAGACCGATTAACAGCCCTAGTCTTAATGAGCTCTACAACTTTTAATTAATTAACAAGATTATCTTAGTAAAAAAAATATATTTAGATGTAGGCTCGCTATATTTTTGTCAATAGTAAACTTTATTTATAAAATTTTGCAAATTCTTTCCAAATAACAAATGGATTATCAATTAAAAGACTTTTGTAAAGCTTGTTAATATACAAATAATAGTTGCCAACTTATAGCTTTTTCTTGTTTTATAGATACTCTACTATATATACTTATATATAGTATTGTATATAGAACAATTTTAGACAATTTTGAATATTTTTTAAATTAAAATTACTTAAAATTTTATTAATTGGGAGTCTATGAGTAAGCCAAAGAGTAATTATAGTAAAATATGACTTAGATTACTATATAAATTACTATAGTGCGAATGTTTTTACTATGATTACTCTTTGGCTTACTCATGGACTCTCAATTAAAATAATTTATTTTAATTTTTTTATAAATGAATTCAGCTCTAAAAAAATTATAATTATATATTTTTTAAATTTATTTTATTGATTATTTAAACTTGGAACATAGGCTTAGATAATTTTGAACAATTTTAGATATTAGATGTTAGATATAGTATAGATATATCCTATGTACAACACTGCTTGTATGTTTTTTAATAAAAAAGTTTTTATAAAATTTGGTTCAAGTAATAGTCAAAATGAGTATTTAAATAATTATTTTTATATTAAATAATTTTATATAATATTTATATATTTCTACTTATACTAAATATTAATTTTCTAACTCTTTTTAACAATCACTTGAACCAAAATTTTCACTAAAAGAAAAAATATAATTTTTGTTAAAAAGTTATAATTTAATATAGTAGTTTATCTAGAGGTCAATGTTTTCTATTCACAAAACTTCTTTATAAATTGTATATTCAGCATGCAAGCTAAGAATATTATTATACAAAATAACTAGCAGAAGGTGATACCTTTGTATAAAAAATCTTAATAGGATTTTGGCATTGAAATCTTGTCTTGTCAATAAAGCTCTTTGGTTGTTACTTCAAAAAAAATATAAAGAATACAACAAAATACAGTATACTCTGTCAAAACTGATACACATAATAGACAGCTTTTGTATCAGCTTTGAGAAGTTATCAGATTTAAGATACTAATAGCCCAATAGTTACATGATTATAGCTAAATATAATTGGCCAAATTATATTTATACATATATATTTGGTTATACAAAATCAGATTTGAGCTAATTAAATCAATTAGTTTTATCTTACAAACCTAATATCTTATAAATATCTTATAGTTCAAGTATTGGTTATCAGAAATAGCAGATTATTGGATTTGAATTATAGAACTAATATGGTAAATTAACTTTTTATCAGTTATGAAAGGTTATTGGTTTTGACAGGATCAGGTTTAACTAGGTATACTGTATATGCTTTTCTTAAACCACACTCTTTTTACTTAGTTAAGTAGTTTCTTGTATATTACTTTTGCCTTTTTGTTAGTTTTCTAAAATTTTTTGAAAAAAGTAGGAATTTGGCTTACCCTTTTCAAAAGATTAATATTGTTTACTTTTCAAATTCAAATAGTCTAGCAGAATGCAACTACATGTTTTAAAAATACAAAGCTACTATACAGAACTAGGCCTTTGGTATAGAACACCTAATAGTGGCAATAGGTGGCTTGAGATATAGATCTATAGATAGCAGTAGTATCTACTTGAGATATGGATTAAGACAGGCATAAATAAAGTTATTCAGAGTTAGTTATAAAGTCAGAAAGAATATTTTTAATATCAAAACAAAGCTTTATAATAAGAATATACAAATATTGTATTTGTTAAATAATTTTTACACTTATCTAGCACAGGTTATAATAATGCTTTTTATAGTTTTTTTTTTTTTGTTTTTTCTTTTTTGCAATTAGTATCTGTTTTTTTTTTTCTTTTTTGTTTTTTCTTTTTCATTTGTTTTTATATAACTTTTTTGAAAATTTTATTTTTGTTTTATACCTCTTAAGAAGAAGGAATAATTAAAAGAAAAGTTTAACAGTTATGATTAGGCATATAATAGCTAGCAAAGTATTGAGAGAGTATCTTTATAGTACTAAATTCTTAAAAAGTTAAGAATTCTAAAAGAAGTGAATAGTTGTTATAACAGGTTAGCTTAAACAATTCTGCTTGGGAAGTCTTTATTAGATAGAACTACATTTATAAAAAAATTGTTGTATTATATATATTAGTTTACACAAAGTTCATATGAATAAAGGTATAACTGTTTAAAAAAATATATATATATATTAATTTTTTTATATTTTTTATGCTTTTTATATTTCTTATACTTTTTATACTTTTTATATTTTTTATATTTTTTATATTTTTTATATTTTTTATACTTTTATATTTTTTATTTTTATTATCTTTATACTTTTTATACTTATTATTTTATACTCTTTATACTTCTTATTTGTTTTTTTATTATTTTGTATCAATATAATAATATTTTTTTAATAATTGTAAACTATATAAACTCTGTTTTTTTTTATTTAAAGCAAATCAATTTTTAGATAATTCTCTAAATAGTTTTCTAGTTTTTTAACCTAGTTTTTTTTAAAGTTCTAACTTATAAGCATGGCGAACATTTGTTTTAATTAGTCAACAAAATGTAAACAAGTAAACAAATATGCATGACATAGATTATCATATTACCTGTGATTGCCTATGATAATTAACAAATCAATTTTTAATATTAGAAAATAAAACTTTACTACACAATAATTATAAGATTAAAACTGTAAATATAAATTTATTATTAAATAACCAACTCATTAAGAGTTTATACATGAATAAAATATTAGCAAAACTATCTTGTTTTTTTATTTATTATCTTTTTAAAAAATAAAGAAATTCGATTGAAGCCGTTCTCAAGCATCTAAATCAATTAATTAAAGAATGATAGTGATGATACTCAAGCATCACAATCAATGGCGATAGTTATAGAATTAAATGCTTTAGCATACTCTTTTTCTATTTTTCTTGATCTTTGTTATACCGTCTATCCAATAAAAAAACTTCTGTTCAACCGACTGCTGAATCTTTAGCTTCGGTTATGTTGGCTTCTCCCTTTAATGATTTTACCAATATTAACCTTTTGCTACAACAGCAGCAACTTATGGAATCATTAGCGAAAGTTGCTTTGCAGCAACAAGAAGTAAAAAAAAGTTTATTAAGTTTATATGAGCAAAAAATGGAATAGCATATTCATTATGGTTTGGTTAAATGTTAAAAGATGGAATTATGTTCATATCAAGGTGTTGATTATTTGTTTTAAGAGCTTGAGCATTAAAAATAAAGTGGCTATTTTTTTAGACCGGTTTGAAATTTGTTTTAAAATTTGTTGTGAATTTATTGTTTATGTTTGATATACTAAAATGTAAAAGTAGTGCTTAAGCGATCTTTATCAATAGTAAATTGGAGAAAAAAGGTAGTTTATATCTCGCTAATTTGTTGATTGATTGTAACAATCTCGTAACTATCTAATAAAATTCAATTATATGGTAACCAAAAGTTTCTCTATCACTATCTTTAGAATTTTTTATTGGGATGATCTACCGACACAACAATTCACATGACTTATCTTCTTATTGGCACAACAATTGGTAGAGAGTCTCTACTAATTGCTATGCTAATAAGAAGATAAGTTATATAAATTGCTGTGTTGGTAGATCGTCTCTTTTTTATTTTTATTATTATATCGTACGTATGTATATACATGTTTAAAAAAATAAAAAAGGCCGATTGATATAAGTCAGCATATTACACCAATTTATGCCAATTAATGTTACGCCATAATTACAATGATATTACCAATGCATGCACCGTCGATTAACAAGCTACGCCATAATGACGATATGGCCATATATCCCAAACATACATAAGTCATGCCCACTCAGATCGTCCAAGTCTAGTATCAATTTACTAGACCAAAAAAAAAAAAGTCGAGAAATTTCAAACAAAAAAAAAGGTCAGTACTTATCGATCAAAAGAAGAAACCTGCTGGCCTAAATTCTCAATTTTCAACGAATTTGAACAATTTCACTGCTATTCCAAGTTCAGAGCCAATTTCTGACAATTTCAAGTCAAGAGCAAATTCTACTTATGAAAAGAAAATAAATAAAGAAAAAAAAGAATTACTGTTAATACTGATCTAAGTCCAATGACAGAACCAATTCTATTTATGGAAAGAAAGAAAAAACAAATAAATGATGAAACAAAGAAAAAAAAAGAATCACCACCAATATTTACCAAATGACAATTCAAACAATTCCAAACCTAGAGCTGATTCTAGCTATGGAAAAAGTGAAGAGAAAGAAAATTAATATAAATGATAAAACGAAAAAAAATCACTGCCAATAACTTACCTGAATGTATCCAGCTTCAATTCTAACGATTTCAAGTCTAGAGCCGATTCTACTTATGAAGAAAAATCAATAAATAAAAAAAGAATTACTATCAATATGTAACCGAACATATCCCAACAATTTCAAGTCCAATTCTACTTATGAAAAAAGGTAGAAAGAAAGAAAAAACCGATAAATGATGAAATGAAAAAAAAATCCTAATAAATAATGAAATGAAAAAAAACCCATCACCAATACTTACCTGAACGTCAATTCAAATGATTCCAAGCTCAGAGCTATAGAAAAAAGTGGAGAGAAAGAAAATCAATAAAAATAATAAAGCAAAAAAAATCACTGCCAATAACATACCTAGACGTATCTAGCCTTAATTTTAACGATTCCAAGTCCAGAGCTGATTATATTTATGAAGAGCAAAGAGAAAGAAGATTAATAAATGAAAAAAAAAATACTGTCAATACTACATGTCGCAGCTGATGCTGAAAACGGCTGATGCTGAAATTTTTTCATATTTTATTATAAAATTATAAAAACTTTTTGGGCCTTTTTTTTTCATAGTTAGGTTAGGGTTAGTAGGGTAGTTTTATTAATAAAAAAGTATATGTGGATTTTAGTAGGTATTATAGATTTAAATAGAAACCCCAAATTTCAGCATCAGCCGTTTTCAGTATCAGCTGCGACACTACATATCCCAATGATTCCAAGTCCAAAGTCGATTCTACTTAAGAAAAAAGTGAAGGTAAAGATAATCAATAACTGATAAATGAAAAGAAAGGAAAAATCACCACCAATACTTATCAGATCATATCTAACTTCTCTTCATGCTGTCTACTCATCAGAGCTTCAATTTGACTCTGACGGTAAGGCATAGGTATCACGCTTTGAGCACTATCCATTTTCAGGGCGATTTCATTCGGCAGGATACACACTCTTTAGTGAATTCTGACTTCTATGAATGATTTCAAGTTTTAAGTCAGCTCTAATTATGAAAAAGAGTTGATGAAAAAAATTACTATCAATACTTGCCCAAACGCATCTAGTCACAATTTCGATGATTCCAAGTCTGAAGCTGATTTTACTTACAAAAAGAGTGGAGGAAAAGAAAATAAATAATGAAATGAAATAAAAAAAAAAAGACACACCAACACTTACCTGAACGTATCCAGCCTTAATTCTAACAATTCAGAGTCTGAAACCGATTTTATTTACAAAAAGAGTAGAAAAAAAGAAAATAAATGACGAACCGAAATGAAAATAAAAAAAAAACACGCCAACTTCATTCCAACAATTCCAAGTCCAGAGTTGATTCTACTCATGAAAAAAAGTAGAAAGAAATACAATAAAATGAAAAAATTAAATTCACGTCCATCAAAAGGTCTTTAACTAGTTGACATTTCTACTATAATCTATCCCTTAAGCTGTAGAGTTCGTATAACAATTTTAGCTTAAAAATAGCATAAATTTAGTTATGATCTATTTTTTTT